GATTTAAATTGGTGTTTTCATATCTGTAGTTTTGAATAGAAAAAAGAATGCGAAACGGGTATGAATAATGGAAGTCGAATGAAAATCAAAATGTTCAAATAATGTTCCACTTGCTTCAAGGAATAAGAATGGCGAGGGTGGATCCGACCGAACGAACAGATAAGTGAATGGGGATGAAATACAGTCGGGGATGTAAGCCGACATTACATGGCTTCAATCAGGCCATTCTGCGTGGAGACTATTGTTGTGAAAAGTCAGCAGGTTTTGTTTGATTAGAAAAGCACCGACCGTTTTGTCCCTAATCATTACTATGAATACCATGAATGTGTACGGCTTATACGTATTTACCGCTCTATCCGAAAGTACTTCGATGATGAAGTGAAGGGTGCGAATCTTTCAATTGGGGCATATTGTAGTAGAGGAAACCTTTTCAATAATCAAGATCCACTGAATTTCAAATAAACATCTGGCCGATTTATTAGAACGTACCTACTTTCAATGAAAGTCTTATTTTTATTGTTCTATTTGCGTAATTAATCATTCAGGTTCCGCAAGTGGACTAAGTAATTATAAATCACGGATAGACAATTAACGAACTTTACAGGTGTCAACCCACGTTATTGGCAGTGCATAAATCGAGTGAGACAGAAATGTTGCGAATGTCCTTAAATCTCTCACTGTACTAGAACTGGAGAATCTAATTATTTTATTAGCTTCAGTTGGGGTGGTTTGATGAATGACGTTTTCTTGTTATCCTAAACTTTTTGTAGTTAATGTTGATTCGAGAAATTTATATATTGCTGATGCGTGTGCTTTAGTTTCTTGATATATATATCTGTAGGTATACGTAAGTGGTTAGAGATTTTAGTTTACTTTCAGTCTTGACTCTTGGCTTCAATATCGGATATCTTGTAATATAATAAGGTACAGCAAATCGTCCACTTTGATATAATTTTGCTTGTGTGGTCCACGTTCTCTAGCTTTATTTTGTTAAAGATTAGTAGCAGATATGAAATTGGGTTTGATCACACAGTCCCAAATGGACCAGTCTTGATTCGCAGAAATCGACCCAGAACCCAACGTAACTCGCAGACCCAATTTGTGGGTGTCAATGTGGAATGAAATGAAAAGTCAACGTTTCGTCACTTTCATAAGGGGTTTCATCAGGATATGAAACAAAAATATCAATCAAAAATAAAATATGTAGAAACTCTTACCAATGAGCCAACAGGAGCAATGCACAATACTTTACCAAACTGTACATGTTGGAACACTGAAGAAGAAAGAGCTAAAGACGACTATTTAAACTTATTCCTTCAGGAGAAATTAGAGTGGCACATCAACCAATGGAATAACAGAGTTCCAGAGCGGAAGTCTGAAATATCTAGTGAGAGATTACTTAACTGGAAGAAGGGTGAAAGCTGACCGTTTCTTGTCAAGGTTTGGGTCATTGGTTTGAGTTCTCAAATAAATACTCATAAATTGACTACATTGAACATACTGTTGAAAATGTCTTCATTTTCTGTACTTTTGTGATTTAGGAGATTTTCACGGGACAAATTCCCGTGGGTCGACTTCTTCAGCAATGCTACAATGACTTTAAATATAAATCTTATTTACAAAATCCCCCTCCCCCTCAAACTCCTATGCTTACACAATGCAAAAAAAATGTCTAAAATGGTAGCATAATTTTGGGTTCCGAGGCTAACAATTCTTTTAGATAATGAGGTTATACGACTTTCGATTTGCTGAAAAATGCTCTGTATTACAGCGCAAATCTTCTACTTACAAATTTCAATAGAAACGCCGTTATAGACGGAGAGCTGGCTACTAAAAAAATGTTTGTAATTTTTTTCGCATGCACTGGCTAATGTGGCATAAGAAACTCAAAACTCAAAAAATTCCATAACAGTTTTTTTTGTGTTTCTTAGGTTTTGAGAAATTTTAAATTGAAAAGTTACTCTATTTATTTTGTAACTTTTCTAAATTTGCACATTTCTCAGAAAGTAAGCCCTATAGCGAAAAATGTTAAATATAAAAAAGATGTGCTTTGATGAGCTGTACAAATAAGCTTCATTCATTTTTTGCGTCAGATTCAAAATAAAGGCACCAGAGTTAAATATAGTCGGAAAATCGGCAGTTTTATTAAAATTTGACATCTTTGACCGCCCCTCCTAACCTTAAGCCACTGGATCTCGCTAGTAGACATGACTTTTTTACTTCACTATGTATCAGGATACTTTACACCAAAAATCAGCCATGTAGCAATAAGTCACTTTTTTCCGTAGCCAGCTCTTAGACTATTACGTAGCCATTCAACTTTCAGGCTGTAGTCGCCCACGGGGATAAGGCATGCCTCACAATCACCGGCTTGGTTCTCTGCAACGCGTAAATCCCTGGTCGGTATAGTAAACACGGGAGCCTGAGACCCGTACTCCTCTTGTGCAATCTGCCTATGATACCGGGAATGGTCGTCCAGTTCCAGTATTTCGTTCACAGACTCAAAATAGGTAAATGAACTTCATCGAATGGGCCACACAGACGCTTAATGTTACCCCCCCCCCTCTCACTCGTATTGTTGGCTCTAGAAGTGTTCATGCCCGCATAGATTTCACCCAATTTTTACTTACGTACTCGACGAGTTCCAGTGATGAAACGACCCCAACAAAACCTAAGCGTTCACTCTCTTGCCAACGTATAGCAGAAACGCCGTCTCTCATCCTTAGTCGTAACAGTTTTTAGAACCGGTAACGCTGTAGCGTTTTAACTTATCGCCTTGAACAATCGGTTCTTATCTTAACGCGCTTCATTTTCTCGTTTTCTCGTTTTCTTTCCTAAAGCACCTAAAGCGACCACCTCTCACACGTGTCATCCCTAGCGATTTCAAACCGCCGAAGTTGTACGCCGGTACGGATATTTTAAAATTCATAAGCAATGAATCCCTCTTCGCCCACCCTCAACTCGCCCACCTACAAGCTCGCCAAGTATCTTCCCATTTACTTGAAGGATTTCACAAGTTGCACGTTATCTCACATTCTGAACTCCGGGCATTTCATTCAACGCATCTCTGATTTGATTCCCCAAGATCTTCTGGTCGGCTTCGATGTCCCTATGTAACTGTAGGATTCTGGTGTGTTGAGGATCATGAGCGTCCTCAGTGAGTACAGGTGAGAATAGTCGCTTCACTTTTTAGTATTTTGGCTATTGCAGGAGTTCTAAAGACATTGAATATAAAATGATATCCCCCCCCCCCATTCTGTTTCAGTGTTTTCGTATTTTTAATGGTTTCGTCGAGATCCTCCCCTGAGCACATAGGATGATATCGATGATTTAATTACAAGTTCAAGCTGGAGTGTTAGGATAAAATTTGGATCGCGCGGTCTCAAAGCAAGGACTACCATTACAGTGGTATCTGCTAGCAACAAATTGGGTTCTAGGTTAGTGCCTGCTATTACGAGATGCGAAATGTGTGTGTGAGTCAAAGGTCTGGCCATCAATGACGAAGGGGGGGGGGCGTAACGAGCCCATTTGGATTGGTTCCAAAATTACCTTTCCCTACGATGTAGTACTGCAATGGTACTTTTTGATAAATCCAATACGAAATAAGATACAACCCATTCAAGCTTTTAAAGTGCCACCCTGTATTTCCTACAAGTTAGTCAGAGAATTTGCACACAAATGTTTATTGTTATTCATTATAAGGCTGAGTGAATTTATCCGATCAATGTCTATATTTGGACACATATGCAGTATGTCCCGAGAAAAGGTTCATTATATTTGTAATCGACAATTTTTTTCATAAATAGTAATTCTTTATAAAGAATCCGACTTGTTCCAAACCTCTAAATGCACCATTAAATTAAAATGCAGGGTTTTTCAAACAAAAACCTGTTTGATAACATCAGAATTTTGACTTTGTCGAAATATTGACAGGTAAAATCAAGTAAGTACGAGAAACATTTTCTGATGTAAACTTAAAAATCGTACACAATGTTATACATTTGTCAATAATCAAAGCTGACATGATTTTTATCTGTCAATTTTGGATTTTTGATTGACTTGAAATCTGAATGTTGCAAGACAGGTTTTTTTCAATTCATTCGAATCCCCCGCATTTTAAGGAAAGGCTAAATGGTGCTTCTAGAGTTTTAGAACAAACGGGACTTAAAAAATTGTACGTTTCTCGAACAATTAAAAAATATGGTCTATATTATTTATAGATATAGTGAACCTCATCTCGGGACACACTATATTATGTGTGCCAGCACAGAGAATATGCAATATCAAGAATGATTTAGAAGGTAACAATATATTGCAATGCTACACCTACCACAGATAAAAAGGGCAGACAATAATAATATTGTTGTTCGACTTCCTTCTGTAAATTTATAGCTGTATCGCGTCAGTTTCTGATGATTTAAAACGCTTATGGTGAGGATTCTGGCTGAGCAAAACAAGCTCTGATGCCTGCTTGCCGGCTAATGGCTTTTCTAAACGTGGGGCTGAGAAAGGAAGACGAAGTTCATTGAACGAGTAAAGATGGCCGTAGATACGAATAGCCACCATTTTGCAGGCGTATTCTGTAAAATTTTAAAAAAGTAGGGATTACAAGAGAGGTTTTCGGAAAGCGTTATGCGGATATCCGCGAAATATTACGGTCGAATTCATAGACCGAAAAAGCGTGAGGTGCGAGATCCGAAATAAGTTACACCGAACTTTGCCTGCGGTCACCAGAGTGAAGCGCTTCAGGTGTACGCTTACCGCGTACAAGCAGTGCTTCTCAAGCGCTTCTGATTTTGGTTTCTTTAAAATGATAGTTGAGCGATTCGTTCACCATGAATTTTGGTAGCGCTTCGCCTTGTGAACGCACCCATTGTTACCGTTGCTATTTTTTATCGGATGCACAGACTCGGGGAGCTCAGTTCTACACTGGGAAAAATGAAAACTACATTAATTTATCGTAAAACATTTATTTATAATTGCGCACCTCCCTCCTGTCATATACAATTGCAATTGTCCTAGAAAGGTAGACTAAAAGAAGTACGTTTTATTGTTTGGACAGTTGCCGGTCAGATAAACGTGCATTTTTGGCCAAACCTCAAAAGGTCTGCAAGGATGCAATAGCCCCATTACGTTATCTTAATAACTTAAGTTGTGCATTTTCCATCACCAAGGCGGCGAACTCCTCTGTACTGTTGACAATCTCTCAAACCTTCGTTAGAAGGTTCTACCAGCTAATTTCATACAAAATGATACTATGAAATCTACTTGTATACCTTTTGCATCGCTTGGTGCACTTATAGTAATATTTCTTTTACAAGATCATTTAAAAAAAGGTAAAAACCCCCTTATTAATTAACTGGCGCCCATACCAAATGCATTCGCATAAGTTCTTATCACATAGACGGGGGATAAGGGTTTTTTGTAAACGTAGTAAACTAATAATAATAACTAAAATATGTTAACAACGCACTAGAACGCCATGTGATTTCAATGTTCTATACAATTTTCTCTTCTTTTACTCATATTAGACACTGTAACTAACGATACAAGTTCACCATTTGGTTTACCCGGGATGTATCCATTCAAAATTTCAGAAGCAACCTCACAAATTTCACTCCACCCATAGTCAATATCTCTGATTTCGGTCAACCTGCTGCACACTACGAATCTGACAACGTAATTTCCTTGAAAGTAGCAAGGAATTACGTAAATGTTCTTGCGTTGCGTCAACTTATCCACGAGAGTCTGTGTAAGTCGATCCCCCGCTTTCATTCTAAAGCAGACTAGTCCCATGGAGCTGCAGGCGAACTCAAATCGCGAATCATCTTTCACCAGCTTTTCAAAGTAACGGGCAAGCTCAATTTGTGAGCGTATATGCTTTTGAATGCCTTCAACGCCGTAACTGCGCAAAACGAACCACAGCTTTAACGCGCGAAATCGCCTCCCCAACGAAATCTGCCAGTGACGATAATCGGGAGCCACTCCTTCGTGTTCGTGATGCAAGTAAATTCGGTCAACATTAAAAGCCTCCACTATGTGCCTCGAGTTTCTCACCCACATTGCCGAACAGTCGGAATTGACCATCATCCATTTGTGCGGATTGAAGTCGAAGGAATCCGCATATTCCACTCCTCGCATTAGGTAGCGATATTCGGGACAGACGAACGCTGAACCGGCGTACGCCGCATCAATGTGCAGCCATAACTTCTCTCTTCTACACACAGGACCCAACTCCTCCAAGTTATCAAACGCACACGTACCCGTCGTGCCCAACGTGGCAACCACGTAACACGGAATTAACCCCGCATTTTTGTCGTTACTGATCGCCTCCTCCAAAGTTTCCTTGCGTAGACAGCCGTTTTGGTCCGTTGGTAACAGTCGCATCGGCATAGAACCCAACATCCCGGCCTTTTCCACCGACGAATTCGCCTGGTCCGAAGTGTAAGCTACGAGTTTCGCTTTTATTAGGCCTTCGTCGAGTTGGGGATGTACGTTCTTAATGTTTCGCACCATCCTTTCCTTTGCGGTTAATAGCGCTATGAAGGTAGATTCGCTTGCTGAACCCTATAGACATAAAGCGAATTAATTACTTTGACATACGACAAATAGAAATCTGCGGAAGTTATTTGAAAAACTCTAGTCCGAACCTTGGAATAAGTCTGGATGTATGGTATAGATTTATACAGAGTCCTCAAGATTTGATGACAATTTTTCATGAGGACGAAAGTAGTATTTTATTGTGCCCCACAGGGTCAAAATTTATAAATTTTCAATATTGGTAGACTCTGGCACACGCGGTTTTTAGCACATTTGTAAAAAAGTAGCTTTTTAATCGCACTTTGGACGCTCCCGTAGAGAAACGCTTATAGAAAGACGAAGAGTGTAATTAACAACTTTAGGGACGGGGCTACATGATATATGTGGGGTCAGCGACATCTGGGCGCCATTCCCGAGCGTGATATACTAACGTGGTGATTTTTCAGTGTTTCCTATTTTCTTCTACAGTTTTGGTCCGATTGCTTTCATATTGGTGTCGTCGGATCTTGTTCCTAAAACTTTCTTAGAGATCGACTCTCTTTCTGTCACCAATAGAAGCTCGAGCTATGAGACGTGCATAAAAAATTGAGTACTATTTTGTAGAGGGTTTTTAGCGAAACCCACCAAAATGTGAATGCGGGTGAACGGGAAGTCGGAAGTGGGTACCGACAAAGAGAATGTGATAGTCCTCGAAAAGATCTTACTGATGATGAACTGACGAAGATATGAAATTTTCCCCAGGTGCCCAAGCAGGGTAACTCAGTTACCACACTTAAAATTTTGAGTTTTTATGGTTTTATGACTCGGACATTGTTGTACCTGAATACTATTGTTTATGAAATAAAAGTAAATGTAGTATTGCATACTTTGCCAAAAAAAGGAGCATTTATAAACTTAAATACTATACTCTGACATACAAGTATTAAACACAAGTGTAAATAGTGAATAACTCTTGTGCAGATAAAGCGCATTTTTTAAAAACCGAAATAGCTTAGTAAATAATTGGGTTACTATAAGGTAGTAGCACCTTCCTCCGGCGCTCTTAGTATATGAGGAATTATAAACGATCACGATAAGGAGTCGAGGATGTAGATTGTGGTTGATAGAAATTAATTCCTTTTGTTGAGAGTACCCTGAAGAATTAAAGTTAATTTCTGACTCCGATTTTGATAAGTAGTAAGAGAGAATTTGTTAAGTTGAGATTTTTAATTAGAATACATTGAAAGATTAAACTAATCCCCCCCTCGCCACCCCGTGATCCTAAAATGGGAGTAGAACCCATTTCCGTTCGATTAGATCGATTTCAGCAAGTTCCGATTCGCTTTAGCTCCGCACAATTTTATTAAATAGGAGACCAAGCGGGGTATCTTGTTCACACCATTATTATCTTTTATAATACGAGTGCGTATGTTGATATTTATCCCTTCGATTTCGATATGAAGACTGAGACTAAACACAATTCAATTTAAATTCCAAAATTTCTTTTTCAACATCATTTGATGATGATTCATAAATTTTTCTGAATTGTTTTGTTCGTGTATCAGACTTTTTCCATTGTGACGGTTGTGAGTATAGGTAGTTAAAACTGCGTCTCAATATGCGGATCACCGTGCAGCTTTGGAAAAAAAAACTTTTTCTGCAGTTCAAAAACAGGACCAGAAAAATTGATTTTAAAAATTTTGATATTTACTGAAGAAAAGAAATAGCTGGGTTAGTATACTAGCAGTCCTCAATAAATCCTATAGGCTACTCTGCTGTGCCGTGTATCTTCGCGTATCTTTACACATTCCCGTTCATTTAGTCGTCGTAGGTAAAATAAAACCCCTATAAGTCACAATAATGTAGCGAATTTTCTAGAACATTCTCAAAGTGCCATAAAGTCGGTACTAGATTAGTCACTGACGATAAGTAATGTAAGTGGATGTGATTAATTCTATTGTTATTGTTATTATGTGTCATAAAAGTGTAAATTAAACTTAATAAATGTGATTGCAAGTGATAAATATTTAGTTGAGAATAAATTAAATTAATCTATTTAAAGCCCTAGTTAATATACTTTACGGTTCCTGTGAAGACTAATAATTAATTAATAATATTTATTTATTTATTTATATTGCATTTTATTTTTATTTTTAAACGAGCGAGGTTTCAGTCAAAGCTGTCCTTAAGGAAACTTTTTTGGATATGCATCGATTTACGTGAATATTTAGAACTACGCACAGTTTACTCTTCTTTTCAAAATCGGTCCTTGTTTTTCTACCCCTTATTGGCAATACTTATAAAATTACTAATTAAAGTTTACAACACATCGAAATAATGTTGAAATAAGGCGAGACTAGACACAAATATCATTTGTGATTTTTCATGTCTCAACCATCCAAGACCATTATGAATTATCATAATTTTAAATCATATACAGGGTGTGACTAAATACGGTGTACATACGGAAGGGACCAATTAGCTTATTTTATGACTAAAAGTTCCTAATAAACATAGATCCGGAAACGCTTCGTTACCGATGTACAGGGTGTTATAATTTCAACGTATACTGTACAACTTAAAGCTTTAATTTATAAACCTATGAAAGTACAAGATTCAATTTGAAACAACAACAAAAGATTATCCAAATAAAGTCAGGGCCGACTAGATAACTTAAAAATTTTTACGTCGATTTAGCTAACTACCGAAACGTTCGCAGATACGAAAAAATTACAATAAACCAAAAAGTTTCAAAACAGATAAGAAAAGAATTTCTTATTTTAAAATTTACCAACGGCACACCGAAAAAAGTTCAGGGGTGGACAATGGAACATGATCCATGAAAAAACATGGCACTGAACTGCACATAGTGGTATAACGTACAACCTATGTACCGGGTGATCCAATAAGACTGTTCCTTGGCCATATCTCGGGAACCGTTCGTCGTATGACTTAGAGATAAACAAAATTATTAGGTAAATCGGTTATGAAGAATCGCTGGAAAATATTTTCAAGTTCTAAAAATGACCACCAGAGAGCGTAACTGCCATCTTAAATGTTAAAATTGTATTTGCTTTCAATTTTGCATAATAAACTAAACATTCTTTTTTACATTTTTAAAGAGAACCAGTTTATCTATCATTTTCGTAAAACCAAAAAAACAAAGATGGTGTGAGGCGTTCAATTGTTTTTGCAACAACCTGTTTTAACTTCTTAACCGTTTGAACGATTGTAACAAATTTGGTATCGTTGAAAAGAGCGTTCCTTGGGCTTTGCTCTGCCGCTTAATAAACCGAAGATTGCAAACGTTTCGTTTGGAAGCTCTGCTTAAAAAGTTCAAAATTTGAATCTTTTTTTTCGAGAACCGTAACAAACATCAGGAAGAATGTCACGTCTCTAGATAGGATTCGATTTTGTAATTTTCAAAATTCCTACTACATTTTGAGTTTGACGAAACCTGATATTTGGTGGCCTTTTAACAATGCCTGACCGGCAAGAAAAATCCAGTATGCAGTTGTCGGCCGGACAATGAAAGTGATCAGAATTTCAAGAAATTACTTTCTTTAGGTATATTTTTGAACAGTGTCTTAAGACGATCTTTGAAACGCAGGTTACACAAAATTCGATTTTGGGATTTCACTGGATCATACTTTTGAAGGTCCCCGGAATCCAAAAGTGTTTTTGAAAAATATCTGTATGTCGTATGTATGTGTGTGCGTGCGGTATGACTTAAAAATCAGGTTCACCCGAAACTACCACACCGATTGGGTTGGAATTTGAAACAGATTCGAAAATGGGAAATGCCTTTTTGGCAATAAAATCGATATTTCTTGAATTACGTATAACCTTGTAAGAATAAGACGGATTTGGCTGAAATTTTGTACCAATGTTCTCTCTAATGGTCCTCAAAGCTGAGAAGCGATTGGAAAATGGGAACTGGCCTTTTATCTGTAACACTTATATCAAAGAGTAACCTCTTTGCTTATATTTATTTAATAAGGTATGAGCAACAAACTCTTGATTGAGAGTGAGCCGTGTAAATTCTAGGCCACTTCTAACATTAACAATTAATGTGGCAGCTCGCGTTAAGAAGTTATCAATGAGTTGATTGTGTGTTTAAATACAGTCGTTGACAATATAATAGTACATTGATCGATGCGATTGGTGCGGTGTCAGCCGCTTCACTGGTTGCCATTTTTTTTTAAAGAAAATTTGTTTTTGTTATGAAAGACAAATATAGATCGCAAACTGGGCTTCCTTCTATCTACCACGATTGACGTGAAAAATCAAGAGACTACTTCGAATTACCCAAGTTATAGTGAAGTTATTTAAGAGTTACCAGAATTTCTAAATTTCTTAGAATTAACCGTCAAAATAAGAAGTACCTCGAAGTAGGTGTACAACATTTTTGGAAAGTGAGGTTTCTCGCAGCAAGTGCAATAGTTAGTCAGATCTCCCGGTTACAATTGATTATTTCGTTTAGCGCCATTGACAAGAAGCCGTGTACAAGACGTGCAGGATTAAGAGACAGAGAGGCTATTATACTAGCTACTTGAAGTGAGGGTAGCTAACGGTACGGCGTAAATGATACATTACAGGTAAACCTTTCATCGAACTCCTTTCGTTCCTAGTTTGTATGCACAAATTGTTCTGTCTGTTGAATTTGTTCATTCTTAATATAATAATTAAGCTCTAGATCTAGTTACTTTTCCCGAAATCGTCATGATACATTCATTTCAATGGCTGATTTATGTCAGAAAATGTTCGTTTCTATGACAGTGGCAGTGGCATCTGTCAAAACTGACACATCAGTAAGTGTTCTATGATTAGACATTTTGTATTAAAGATACGATTTCGTGAAAAATTTAATACAAAACTCGTCAGTAAATAAACGATACTATTTAACTCGAAAATTAAAGTACTCGAATCAAAGGGGCCTCTTGCTTCAATGTTTCCTCGTCACACACCTGCCATTTGTCTATACAGGGTGTTACATATGTGTATGTAAACAATTGGGTGGTAGAGGGGATCAAAACAAGCACTTTTTCCAAATAAAGCGAGGGTCCAACGTGCTTCGTTTGGGAGCCACCCTCACAAAAATGGTGAAATTTGCATTTTCAGCAACCATTAGAGACTGGTGGCACGTTTTTGAATAGGTTTTGGAATATCCAATTTTGAAAATTTTTTTTCAAAATTCCAGCCACGAAAGGGTTTGCATTTCTTTTTTTAATTCTTGTCTCTTTGGGGTATACTCTTTCCGATTTTGCAAAAAAAATATTCAAAATTCCTACCACGAAATGGCGCACCCCTAAATGGAGGTGCGTAAAAAATTGCAGGAGAATTGTATTTCGAATTTTCAAACTTCAGATTCGTGGTTTTCATATTCAAAAATCCCCAGATTTCAAATTCCGTCGAAATCATCAATTTTTTCTCGCACCCCAATTTAGAGGTGCGCCCTTTCGTGGTAGAAATTTTGAAAAAACGTGTGCAAAATTGGAAAGGGCAATCCTATTCAAATCTCTGTAACTCTTATGGTTGCTGAGAAAAACATTAAAGAAGAAATGCAAATTTCACCACTTCCCAAATGAAACACGTTGGACCCTCGGTTTATTTGGAAAGAGCGCTTGTAACACTCTTTATACCATAAATAATGGCCAATTATTAAATAAGTCAGTAAGTGCATCTTAACTTTACCTATGCATGCACCCCATTACATTAACGGTGTAATGCGAAATTTAAGCCACATTTTACGCCTACATGACGTTATAAATTTGTGTATATATTTCATGCATTGTAGAGAAATTTAATGTTGCTTCAAAAACTAGATTTTCCCTCTATTTCGGGCTGAGAAATCAGAATTGGAGCAAGTGCTTGATTAGAAATTCTAACATCCCTCATTAATTCTTACTTGAATAATTCCACCCCCAGATCCATTCGAGCAGTTCAGAAACTCTTCCGGTAAACCGATCAGTTTACCAAGCCAATTCATCATTGCGACCTCTAATTCGGTGCACGCCGGACTTGACATCTACAAATAAAGATTTGACCTTCTAGAAAGCGAATTACGTAAAATCAATAATTCTCACCCAACTAAATCCGACGCATCCAATTCCGGCGCTCAACATTTCGCCCACTATACCCGGGTACGAGTTCGCTGTAGGACAGTACGCGTGAAAATTAGGCGAATGCCAGTGCGTCACCCCCGGCATAATCACCCTTTCGATATCCTCCATGATACTCTTCCAGTTCTCGCCGGTTTGAGGAGCTTCTTGCGGAATGGTCGGTTGTAAGTATCCCGGATTGACGGACGGCAGAACTTTCCTAAATTTATTGATGTATTCGATATTGTGCAAGAATGGGTCTTTAAATTTGCGTTACGTAAAGAATTAAAGGAAGTGTGTACGGTCAAGGAATCGGACATGGGGGCTTACCTGTTACGAATATTATCCAGATAATCTGCAATATAATCGACCATCGCTTTTCCAAACTCCCTGAACTGGTCCGAATCCATTTTCCACAAAGTGCTCCAGTGTCACTAATCAAAGTACCTACTGAACTGGATTGTGATTCACGAGACACAGTACAGTAGAAGTAAAAGTGAAGCTGCGGTATATTATTGCACGGTAGCACCTGATTTCACTGACAGTAAATCGCGACTGTTATATAGGAACAAATTTACTTGGTTGCATTTCTTTTGATGAAAGTGAAATTTGTTTGTATTGTAGTAGTTTCCTGATCCTTGCGGCCAAACTTTGTGCTAAAGACACCATTTACTTTCCTTATATAACTTCTAGTAGTTTTAGAAGAAACTGGACGGTGATGCTCTGATTAACCTTCTTGATTAAATCATTAATCATAAATCAATCTAAGCTGATGCGAACTAGTTTAAAAACCTGTAAACTGGCATCCAAGGTTTCTGATTTGTTTTGCATAACGTATAAAAAAGGTGAAAACAAAATAGGTACAAAAAAAATGGTTTCTTCAACACTTAATGACTATTCTTAAGGTGCATTTAAACTGCATTTTGATCTCATGTCAAAATATTAACCCTGCAGAAATGGCGCTATATATAATAACATGAGAGGTGGCGCCAAGTCTGAGGGACTTGGATTATAAACATATGTAGAATTTTTTTTTCAAAAAAAGACAACGTAACATGACGAAAAATAAATATTTCTAGCTTAAAATTAACAAAGATAATGGGCAAATGACAGGTTAATGTATGTTTAGGTTTTGGAATAACTATGAAAAAAAGGTTTCACTGATTGCCTATAGAATCTAAACAAGGTTCACACAAAGCTTTTAAGAGAGACAAACAAATTTGTTACACTTTTTACAAAAAAATCTTGTTTTAGAGTCCTTCACACAAAAAAAGCATCTCTTTCGAGTTCCTGGAGTAATCTGTTCTGTGGGCTGAAAGTTGGAAGATGTTCCAGCATATTCTTGTCTTCTGTCCCGTACTGCTCGTGGTACATTTGTTTCACAAGAACGACGAATTAAATATGGTTTTGTCAGTTCTATTGCAAGTTTCTTTAGATATAATCTTCTTATCATTGAATATTGTTTATTATTTGCTGCATAAATCAGTTGCGAGTTCACGCCTGCTATATTTAGTAAAGCATATAAAACAACCATTGGCCATCTTCGAGTATTCCTTGCTACATTGTAAGTGGCGCACAACTTGTCCAAATTGTCTACACCGCCTTTGGTACTATTATAGTATGTTATTATTTCAGGTTTGAATTTATCCTGAGTTAATTTGTCGATGGCATCATCATGGTGTAATGAAGAGACTAAAATAACGTTTTTATATTTTTTTGGAACATACGAGACTATTGTTAGATCTTCCTGGAACCCAAACATGGAGGTACAGATATCGCGATTTCTTGTGTTAACAAACTCTGGTGGAAGTTCCCTTTTGTTCTTTTTTATGGTACCGACGAATGTTATGCTGTGTAATTTCAGCAATTCAACAACTAAGGGTATGCTGGTAAACCAGTTGTCACAAGTAAGGTTCCTATTCGTTCCAGATATGGGTTCTACAAGGCGTAAAACAACGCTAGAAGGAGAATTATTCATTCTGAAAGACCCTCGGGTTGTTGACCCACATAGATTTCTAAATTTGCACAGTATGATGTGGAAGCATCGACAAGAGCAAATATTTTCACGCCGTATTTATTTGGTTTGCTGGGAATGTATTGCTTGAAGCCGCATCGTCCACGAAAGGCTTCAAGCTTTTCGTCTATAGTTGCATTGACTCCTATGCAGTAGGCATTCTTACAGTTTTGAACAAAACGATCGAAGATAGTTCTTATCGGTGCCAACTTGTCAATTTTCTTCCTTTCATCCCTGGTTGAGAGATCATCGAACCTTAAACAGTTTAGGAGAAATCGAAAACGCTATTCAGACATTGTTGCCCAGAATCTTTCAACTCCAGTTCCTTCTCTATCCCAAATTTCTTTTGTGTTTAGTCTGCTGCTTTTGATAGTTCCAGCTAAGTATAATAATCCAAAAAGGGCCTTTATTTCAACTAGGTCTGTGGGTTTAGCTGCTCTGGTTCTAGTATAGTTTTGGGATACGTTACCTATAAATAGGTTTGTATTTTCAACAATTTCTGTTAGCATTGCATCCGTAAAGAACAATGACCAGCATTCTTCTTCAGAAAGAGCATTTTTTGCATATTTTCTCACTCCAGGAAGACGTACAATAATGTTTTCCCGTCTTGTTCTGCACGTTTTCTTGATACAATGTTTTCTCCACTTCGTAGAACCATTCTTTCCAAGAAAATGAGGAATTCGAGGAATTTTTTCAGGTGGAATATTTTCATCATCATCATCACAATCTTGTTCCGACTCACTATCAGTATCTCTTTGTTCTATATAACATCATCCTCTGTAGCTAGTTCTAATTCATCATCGTCTGGTTCTTCTGCGCTATTTAATTCTTCCCAAAGTAATCGCAATTCCTCTTGTTCTTTCTCCCAACTCATCTTTTCTAAAAAAAATATCTGAGGGAACACAAATATAACGATTCTTGTTATATCATTTGTATAACATATTAATATTACAAATAATTTTTCCGCAAAATATGTACTAAGCAAATAAGACAGACAAAGTGATACAATACTTACCAAAATGAAAAAGTCACAATTTCACTACGTACAAAAATAGTAACACGAGCGGTGGCGTCAAGTCTGAGAGACCTTTTGTTTAATAATTCGCTTGTAATTCAAGCTAGAACCCTACTACGTGTTAGGCCACTATTAGAGCTCACTTTAGGAAGGTACTAAACTGGACGAATTTTTTCCGACCAGAATCGAGAAATGGCGAGTGTTTGAATTATCGCCGGGTCTGTTAGACTTGGCGCCACCTCCGGAGGTTAATAAAAGACGAATTCGGATAAATTCAGTGTTATAAAAAAAACCTTAATAAAGATAACACGGGCACAATTATAGTGATGTGGACTGTAAACAATTTGTAAGTTACATAAAAAACTGTTATATTACGCATAACTTACAAAAGGTCGGTTTTTTATGTAATTTATGCCTTTTATGAAATTTACGTGTTTTTTATTTAAAAAACCGTAATTTTTGTAAATTTACATAAATTTAATACCTATTTGATACCACTGATACATTTTGAGGGCGTGGATAAAACCCGGACCCGGACTCACTTTTATGGATTTTTTGTAGTGATCCTTTATAGTTTTATTATTCGCCGACCACTCGTCCGTGTGAGCAATACTCTTTTTAACACCGACCGCTTGTTCGAAATTTGGACCGCGACTTCTTTATGGTTTAGGAAAGAACCATCAATAGGGACAACAGTTGCAGGTATTCTTGTGGATCGGGAACGGCAACCTCATACAATTAGATATAGCGATTTTTGTGAAATTTTAACAGTAGGTCCTTTGAATAAAAGGAAATTCCGTGTGGGTGTGTCACGCATGAGCAGAACCAGCTTCCTTGTCTACTGTAAAATATCTGTCTCTATAAAGCCCCTTAAATCCATTTTTTGAACATTACAGATGTTCCCATAATATTGGTTTATTGGACTTGATATAGGTAGTCGATCTCAGTAGGTAACCTTCCAATAAAACATCGAATTAATATAGAGCGACATTCACGTAGCTTGTTCGTTATAGTATATTAAGTATGGAGAACGGTAAGGGATTTTTACCGTTCGAAGACAATTGTTTGGAGGAGGAGCGAAGCGACGACTCCAATTATTGTCTGAAAACGGTAACCCTTAACGTTCGACGTGCTTATAACATTTTTTGCGCGATCGAAATTAAAATTATGCAACCAATATAAATATGCACTAAGAAATTAACGAGCAGAATAAATCGAAATGATCGAAGTGGTATGGTGTCAATCACTAGGTAACCAGTTTATTTGTCAAAATTGAAATTAATAATTTCATAAAAATGTGCATGTGTCTGATGTAGTTTACTAGCTTTGTACTTCCTTTATGACTTTATGAGCGTCTTGCTATAGGAAACAACAGCACAAATTGTACGTTTAATGTACCTAACAATAATTTAAAGATTAAATGTAATGTAAGACTGTTGATTTTTAAAAAGGCGTCGGTAAGTATTTTTGCTGTTCTGTTTTTAGATCGGTAAGTAATTTTGGCGTCGTCGTAATCATAGCAACTGGTAAATTCTACGTACTGTCATGGAAACACCCAACCCCCCCCCCCTTTTTTCCCGAGATGTTGTTTTTAAAAGTAAAACGTGCATAACTTTTACATGTACAATTGGTGTTAGATGCCTTTAATGGTGCCAAAAGGAATGTTTCCTACCAACTACCTAACGCCGTTCTTTCGCACCCCTTATCAAAGAGGGTGGGTACCCATAAAAGGAAAGTGGAGCGTCAATGCCAGATAGATTTACTGGTGATGTCAAAACCTTCCGTGCAAATATCTGCAGAACTGAGTGTCTGAGGAGGATATTCCCACACGGCGCAAAGATCACCTAGATGAGACACACCTACTGTCAATGTAAAAGCTTAATTGTGAATATCTCGAACATGCTATAGGAAGGAACCTACAAAGGGAAATGCAATATTCCCGAGAATTTCACTAAGGGCTTGATTCTTCTTGTATTACATAGTATACATTTTGAAAGTATGCCAGGCGGCCTTTAACTGTTTACGTCTAAAGAGCCCCCTCTCCATCCTACTAAGAAACATCGATAAATATAGCATATGTCAACTTTTCTCTAACAATTGAAAATGCAAGGGCTTACTCAAAAATTCATATCTCTTAGATTAGACTAGAAGGATTTGAGTATTAAATAGGACGATCACTTATATGTTAAACGGTTTAAGCGATATCAATTTTTGAATGGACCCTTGCATCTTCAAATTTTTCGAGAAAAATTGACATATGCCAAAAACTATGACAAATAGGTAGGTACTTAAATTTTAATTGCGTTGAATGCAGAATAAACTAACGCATTTCGAAGAATATAGAAAATTCTATGATTCTATTAAAAAAAACACAAGATGGCACCACTTGCCGGTATTTATGGAATGAGCATCATCTTGAAATTATCTTATATTGCAATTTGCAATGGTCGGTTATGGCTGTAAACCAAATTTCAAGTCTCTATTTCAACTGCAAGTTTAAAAGAACACACGACAATAATTTCGTCGAAATGGCGACACAGTTTTCGCTTGCCATTTCAATTTTCGTAATAAAATCCAACGTGCGATTACACGGCAGTCAAATCGTCTATGTACTTCGATTATACGAATTCTGTCGATTCTTCTACACAACGAAGTTCTTCTTTTGCAAAATACGTCACTTTAGTTTACTCGTAATGGCAACTCGCGATTAATTTAAAAGAACACACGACAATAATTTCGTCGAAATGGCGACACAGTTTTCGCTTGCCATTTCAATATTCGCAATAAAATCTCACGTGCGATTACGCGGATGTTAAATCGCCCATTTACTTCGATTATGCGAATTCTGTCGATTCTTCTACACAACGAAGTTCCTCTTTTGCAAAGTACGCCACTTTAGTTTAGTCGTAATGGCAACTCGCGATTAATTTAAAAGAACACACGACAATAATTTCGTCGAA